GTGGAGGTTAGTTTAGCAGAAGTCATTACAAACAGAGAGGTCATGTCGTTGCGGCCATGTCATTACCACAACGGCTGTGTGCGTAAGCGGCCGCCCCGAACTTTGTGTGCTGGAAATATTAATGTCAGTGCAAGCCGTGGAGTCTTGTACCTTTTCACAATGTGGGTCGACAACGCTAGCCAACGCGGCGCTTAGACTAGTACGTGACTTTATAGTGTCGGATAACCAGGCTTTGGAAAGCTACATTCGGTCAACACTTGGATTCGAACAGCCCGCCGATTCCATTGTGGCAGGCAGAACCAGTTGGGTGACGGTGGCGGCGACTGGTTTGAAGGACCCTGAAGACTTGCAGCAGCAATGCAGCCCGTCGACGAGCCCGTCACAAGGGGGTGAATCTTTTGTGAGTGAATCAACGCATTCGACATTATCACCATTATCAAATTCGAGATTAGGTATTAGCTCGACATCAGTTGATATCCCAGTTGATATCCCACTTGGTGAACGACGGCAACTCAGCTCTACCGCCGCAGCGGCTACCACCCCAGTCAGCTCTTCCGCCGGTCGGAGTCGCACGGCACCGCGGTACCGGCGACCTGGGTTGGTGGAGGAGTTCCTAGAGGATGAAGACACTTCGGAAGACGAAGAGGTGGTGACCCGACACCGGCATCGAACGGGTGCGCGCCGTGCCGTGGCTTCTGGTGAGTGCTATCGTTGTGATGCTCGCGAAACTCCTCAGTGGCGGTACGTCCACAAATTCCGCTTTTGTAACGCCTGCTACATGCGAGTCAAACGGCATACGGAACAATCTCGTCCCGGTACAAGAGTCCCCCCGCGCTACAAACCATTCCTAGACCCCGCCGAAGACCAGCGACTGCAAACTCTCGCTCAGGATCTTATCGATCGCGCCTTCGATAACGAATAACCAACCTTGCCTAAGGCTCCCCTTCCCAGTCCTCCAGCCTAGCGCTCGGTCTTATATACACACAACTCCTTCCGGAGTTCAATTCCTTCCGGAGTTCAATTCCTTCCGGAGTTCAATTCCTTCCGGAGTTCAATTCCTTCCGGAGTTCAATTCCTTCCGGAGTGCACCATCCACACCGGAATGGAGCATCCTGACTGAGCAGGATTTTTCGTAGTTAGATAGTTAGAGCAAATGGAAGACGACATGACGCTCGCGAAACAGTGCCTCGGACTGCTACCAGGAGGGCGTTACTTTGATGTCTTTGCCTTCATTGCCGACCAACAAGCATGCATCCCACCCCCCATCCACTCTAAACCACACCCCATCCACTCACCCCCCATCCACCCCCCATCCCCAGCGCTGGAGGACCTGTCCGCTCGCTGGAGGACTTGTCCGCTGGCTGGAGGACCTGTCCGCTGGCTGGAGGACCTGTCCGGTGGCTGGACCCACCTCCCAGCCCCTGCAGAACGTTGAGGTGGAGCTGCAGGTAGACGCGCCGAGTGCGGGACTTCTAGACAAGGACCTGGGCACCCAGCATGTAAGCCTCGGCACGTAAGGTCCGACGCGTTTATGCGTGCAGCTTTATAGAGGACAGAAGATGGCCGTCCCTTTGGCAGCGGCCAGCGCTTTGCAGGAGGAGGGGCTGGCTCTGGTCCGGGTGCCGAGCTTCCTATCGACCCAAAGCGGAATACTGACAACGATTCAGTCAGGGTTCAGCCAAGAGGCGTGTTGCCTCCTGGACCTGAGAAGCGTCTCGCCGGTGTTCTTTGAAGTCGCTACCAGAATTGCTTATCTGTAAGTTTTCCAACAACACGACTGACGGTTTGATGGCAGTGCAAACGACGAGGAACTCTTTACAATAGTACAACGTATCTTAAGGGAACGTCTTAAGGTGATTGCGGCAATGGTAACCCCCCCCCCCCCCCCCCCC